TGTGATTTCGATGAATTTTAGGGGTTCAAATCAATGCCAAAAATAAGCCCATGACTTCACACTGCATCTCGAGAATCGGCTAAAGTTGTGATATCTGCTGTGTCTGTTTTGTGAATATCGCTGAAAGCAAGAGGACAAGAGACAAAAGAATGACCTGACATGGTGTGTTCAGGTGTCAGGTCTATAAAACAAGGTCCTGCCTCTCGATTCGCTGCTACTGACAGATATTGATTTCCGTCTATTTAGTAGTGAAGCCTTCAGTATCTCCGGCTTGGACACTGGACAATGAGAAGGCTCAACTGTGGGCTGATGATACTGCACACTGAGAAACTTCAGAAAAAACATGCTTTCACGTCTAGAAACTGGCTGATTCTGGTTTCTCTTCCACTCAACAATGTCTACAAAAAGGTGGCCAGTATTTAATGCGGTATTACGCCATATCCTGACACACTGATTTTGTGGCATTTCAGTATCTGAGGTGGGGGGATTGATGCATTCAGTGGTGATTACTGAATTAGGTCATAAAATAGAAGCACACTGTAGGATAATATTCAGTCTCTAGTTCTAGATTGTACAATTTGTGGCTGATGTTTCATCATAATCTCTGCAGAATTTGTACACAGAGCTAATTGAAGGGTAAAAGATATTTATGACTGTTTGTGTAACTCAAGAATTACTCAGGAGGATTGTGTGGCGTTTAGAAAGAACAACAGATAGTGTGTGTGTATGTGTCGTCTGTACCGGGCAGGCTAATAAATAGGTTAGCACATTATTAATGAGGATCACAAACAGAGAAAGATTGAGCACCAATCAGTTCGCCCGTGACAGTAAAAGAAAAGACAGATGGGGAGGGAGATTGTAATAGGAGGAATTCTAGCCTGAAAAGCACCACCGGATCTAATAAAATGTTTCCACCAGCACTCTCTTGGGAGTTACATTTCCCCCTATCTACATGTCAGTGAGGTAACTTATCTGAGGGGAAAGCAATTTACACAGGGATCAAATGCATGCCTGAAAGCATAAGTGACGTTGTAAGCATTGGATTGCTGCTCTTCTGGAAGCCAGGGGAAGGAAATAGACGTGGAGGAGGATGCAAGTTTGTATGCAGGTTAGTGTGACAGGTTCAGAATATATTGGTGATGATGAGATGGTTAGATACAAAATGAGTTCTGCTTTTGCAAAGAAATCTGACATTTTAAATGCATTGCATGTGCAAAGCTCATTGTGCAGAATATATTTAGTTATGCTTCAAGTAAATTTACCAAGTGATCACTTTATGTGGCACAAAAAAAAAAAAAGGCCGTGTCCTCATTTCGCTTTTAGAAGCTGGATTTTCTTAAGTTTTCAGTATTAACCCTGAAATATATGATGGTAGACACAGTTTTTGTGTCTCCTGCAGATATAAATACATTTAAGTATGCAAAAATGCACTTATCATCTGCTAAAAAGAACTCTGCTTGAGTTAATATTACAATTTTCTTGCCTCAACATACATACTACCCACTTTACAACTTTAATATGTGCAAAGTTGGCTAAAAAACATGCCAACAGTTAGCAGAGTTAATGGTGTAATTAAGCTATAACAACAACATCATCAGGTGTATGTGAGAAAGACAGAACACATCAGCTTATTAAAAGAATCTGAGAGCAGTGATGTTGGATACACAGGTTTCTACAAGTGATACTAATGGCAAAGTCGACTGTAGCTGCTGGAGAACATAACTGCCAATTAAAGATCCCGAACAAGAGCTACACTAGAGAGAATGTTTGGTAAAAGTTTCTCAACTCAACAGGTGACAGTATGTGAATGTTATATCTTGTTGATCTTGTTGTACGTGGAACCCAAGTGGCCCAAAATTAGAGCAGGCTAGAAGCCAGTTGCATGTTTTTTTTGGCAGCTACAAGGGAAAGAAGTCCAGTGCAAAATGACTAAAAGTGCTGCGAAAAACTGTTTTTCCCACCAGAGAAAAAGCAAAATTAGCCGTCAGAGTTTACATTTGTCTTTTGGTCACCTGACAAATATAAGTCCTATATTTACTCTTTTTATAGTCTGCACCAACTCCTGCGTCTTTAGGTTTTATTTACTGCACGGCAGTCCGTCTGCAGTTTGTTTCCAAGCAGGGGGTCGACATTATCTGA